ATAATCAGCGTGGAGATGTTGGAAGATACCTTTGAGGGCATCGTTTTGAGTTTTGATGGTGCTGCCAAGACGTCTACCCGGCAAGGTAGCTGTGAGTGTATTTTGTGGGAATATGGAAAATCCTGGATGCACAAGGCTTCATCCTGGAAGACGTCACTGTGAATGACGCAGAGTACTGTGGACTCCTGAATGGTTTAACCATGGCCCAAGCCAGGGGCGTCAGATACTTGATCGCTGTGGGTGATTCACGAATCGTCATCCAGCAAGTGCAGGGTCTGATCAATTGTAATCAGCCTAACTTGCAAAGACAATTGGCCAGCTGTGAAGCATTGAAAGAAAAGTTCGACTCGGTGAGACCGGTGCACGTCAAGCGGGACTTCAATCAGGCGGCAGATTACCTGACTTCCAAGACACTGTTGCGTGGAAGGTCCTGGAGTGTCCAAGATGATGGAGAACGTCAACACCTGGAGCGATTATCCAAGATTCAACAGAAGTTATTCAAGAGAAGTTGATGAAGTCAGCCGAAAGTCACCCGCCATTCAGGACTCGTTATCACCCAGGATGAAGAAGGTTGTCCAGACGATCCTGGATGCCCGATGTCATGGCAGCTCCACTACCATACGCAGCCAAAATCTTGGTCGCCGTGATACGGGCTAGTGTCCGAGACCAACAAGGGTCATCAGAGCCTCTCAATCCCCTGGATTATCAACGAGAAAGGTGGCGGCGGATTAAGGTACACCAGGAACAGGATGAATACCTGCGCGACTTGAGGGATTTCCTGAATGGAGAAGTCGACCGGTTCACTTTACACCGGTTGCGGAAGATCGCCAAGTTCGCAGACTTGTTCGCCCTGGATGCCCGTGGCGTGTTGTATCGGTTAGCTCAGTCCACCCGAGGCAGACCCCGAGACGCTCAGGATGAATTACGACTGGTGGTACCCATCACCCCGAGAGAGGACATTTTACATTATGCCAACGAGGACTTTCAGGGTGGACACCAGGGCATCAAGCGGACTCACGAAAAATTGCGCTCTGAGTTCTATTGGCCTGGGATGTATGCCGATGTGGAACGACACGTAAAAGAATGCGTGGATTGTGCAAGTGGCAAAGGACACCCGTCTAACCCTGGTCCATCTCCGGGAAATATCGAACCAAGGCGACGATTTGAGGTAGTCTCGATGGATTTTGTGACACACATGCCGAAATCGGAGCGGGGAAACACTTTCTTGCTCTTATTCCAAGATATGTTCTCAGGATTCGCGATGTGTAAACCGATGTCTTCTACGACAGCCCGGCCGAGGCATATGAGGAACGGGTGTTCAGGATGTTTGGTGCTTCAGAAATGATCCGCCACGACCAAGATCCAAGATTCATGAGTGAAGTTTTCACTCGATTCAGGGAACCCCTGGGCAGTCGTCAGAGATCCACCCTGAGCTACCGACCCCAGGCGAATGGACAACAAGAACGTCCTGTTCAGACTGTTATCCGGGGCGTGCGAGCGTATATGGCCGAAGCAGACCAGTCAGATTGGGACGATCATGCCGAGAGATTGATGTTCGCCCTGAACACATCGTTTGACGCGACCCGCCTAGATACGCCATTCTACCTAGCCCATGGCTGGGATGCTCAGGGCACCGTATCTTCAATGTTAGGGCCTAAGCCGTCCAGCC